GCCGCACGGGCAAGCAGGTGCCGCTACCCAATATAAGGATTTGGGCCCGTAACAGTATGGCTCTATACTACCGATTTTGGAGTTGTATGATTGTTATTCGGTTCAGCTATGTTAATTCAATTATTAGTTAATATTTTGAATTAAGTTGATTATTTCTGTATATTCTGAGTATGTACTAAGCCTTCCTAGTCTAGGGACTAAGTGTCATCACGATCTTTAAGGTGAGATTTTGGGTCGTGACATAACTGTTGATTAATAGATTTGAAATGAGAAACTTTAATTTCTATATTGTTGGTTTTTTTTTACTCGTGTAACTGCAAGAATAATTTTCAAATTGAGATAAGATTATTCCTACTTAGGTAAAGGAACTATGAATGCAAACGTGATCCTTGAAAAAGAGATATCCACCATTAGATTTGATTTCGATTGGGTGTTGTGACAAACACTTCGAAAATATTTTAAGGGCTTATATCTAAATTTTTAGGTAATTTGATAAGAGCAAATATAGTAAAATTTTCAGTCCTAAATCGAAGTATAGCTACTTTCTGAAAATACAAATACCTAATTAAACAGGGTAAATAAGTTTATAAATTCGTATATATACGGATAAAATAACAATTATTTTTGTGTAATTTTCAGATCTTACATCATATTCCAATATTATTAGTAATTGATTTAAATTTCACATAAGAAAATTATATATTAATCCTATAATTATGAAACCTTCATCCCTTTTTGGAACTTTTAGGGAAACTTGAAACAAGTGACCTTTCTGTTATATCTAAAACTAAAGGGTAAAATTTCTTCAACTGTAATAAACCTCGGGAGCCAAGAGATCGGAAACAACAATGGCAATGGCTGTTGAGGTCGCCGGCGGTGGTTCAGGCGGTGGCGGAACTTTATCAGAATTCTACCAGAGTTCCCGACGGCTGTTACTCAAAACCAGAGACGGTTTAGAGAGGCTCGAACGGTTCGAATACACCTCCTCTTCTTCTTCTTCCTCCGTGTTGTCGTCGGGCGCCGCCGTGAGCGATCCTTCGGAAAAATCAGTTGACGGTTTAAGAAAAGATATAAGTCAGATCCAAACACTTTGCTCTCTCATGGAACGTCTCTGGCGATCCATACCTGCTAAATCTCAACGTGATCTCTGGAAAAGGTCACCTCCTTATTCTCCCTGAATTGTGATATTTCAATTTCAACTGCTTCTTTGTTTGTTCTCCTTTGGTTGATATTTTCGATTAAGGACTCGTGTAGTTGAGATTAAATTGGGTATTCTTGTGTAAGGATAAGCGTGAGGCTTAGAGAATCCGTAATTTAGGAAAATAATTTAGTATTGTAATGAAATGGAGTTAAATGGAGCGGATCGGATGTTGAGGATATTTTTGTTATGAGGGTGGTGTCTAGGCTAGCTTGCGGTGCAGGACTATTTCACCGGGTACATGCTATCTCCCCACCAGTACAATACAACTACTAGGTAACTCTGTCCACAGAGGCGGAGGCAGTATTTCAAACTTATGAGTTTAGGATCTAATCATTTTAAGTTATTGGGTTCTAAATTAATAATTTATACATATTTAATAAAAAATTTAGGACAAATACATGATTTGAATCAAAGCTACTGGGTTCACCCGAACCCATAGCGACATTGTGGCTCCGCTTCTATCTGTCCTTCAAGGCTTAGGCATATGAGAAGAAATCACCTAGTAATTTTTGCTTTCTCAAGAATTTGAACCTGAGTTCTCCTTCCACTTCATTGAGTTCTCCTTCCGCTTCATTGACCATTAGGCTACACCGTTGGGGTGCATATGGCTGTTGACTGTTGAGGTTTCATAGGGCTGATTTGATATTGAGGCATAATTGTATGATAAATTAAGGTGAAATTTTTTATGAGCAAATGACAATTGAGTAGTCTTATCGTCGAGTAATTCGAAATGAAGCTGTGAGTACTTAAAATTATGGAATTAGACACCGTGCATGTAATTTTAAATGATAATGTTAGATGAAAATGCTTCTAACGAGTTAGTATAAAAAGTAGACGTAATGCATGTCTTGGGTCCTTGACGTGCTCAAATTTATAGAAGTCTCAGTTTTGACTTATGAGTTAATATGATGTCGTATGATTTGGTAGGATCCATCAGTAATCAGATTGTTGAAAGGAGACACATGATTTGTTTAGTAGGTGTCTGTCAAGTCCCACATTATTTGAGGGAATGGGTTGTGTTCTCCTTATATGGTCTTAGGAAATGCTCCCTTCATGAGCTAGCTTTTCGGAGTTGAGTTAGATCCAAGGATCATATCTTCACAATGTCCAAACTTGAGATTATCCAATTCATTGTTTATCAATTGAGAAACAAATCTGTATTTTCATACAATTTTAATTGTTAATTTCCTAGATCATACAGCAATGTGATTTTTGGAGATATTTTGATTAGGAATTGTATTTAGTTTTTGAAATTAAGTCGAACTGTATTGTTGATTCAAGAAAATGTTGGCCAGTGCTCATCAAATTTGGTGAGGCTGAATTACTTTGGCAACCCTTTGATTAACAAAACCTAAAGTTAAGTGGTGATGAATTCACGTAGTTTTGTGAGGGGTTCTTAGTGAAAAACTGTCAGTCGTGTACTTCTTATTAGAGATGCAGTGGAGCAAGCACCAATTTGCAATAAACCAACATTTTTTTTTCTTAGAAGTGCAATAAATCAATGCATTTTCGCTTATTCTTTGTGAAGTCAAAAGAGGGTCATGTCTTCCTGCAGTATGTATGCTTTAATGATGCTTTCATGGTTTGTGTTGGTGTTTCATGAGTATATTGTCATGTATCCACTTCATATGCACTTGATGCCTTTGGGTCTTACCCAGTCGTAGTCGGTCTTCGGTTCTAATTAGAAGTTTTTATTCCATAACTGAAAGTCTGTGTCTTACGTGTACAGGAAAGTGGAACAAGTGGCTGAAGAAGTTGACTCTTTGAAAGATAGTCTGGATAAATATAACCTGCGGCATCAGAGACGGATGGAAGAAGTCCGGGAGAGAGCAGAATTACTTGGGAGAGCTGTATGTAATCTTTTTTGAGCTGGTATGATGAATCATTCTGTATACTGTACCGTATTCCATCTAATTTATTTTCTTAATGTACTAGAGCGGCGATTCATCTCATGTTCTGAGGATTTTTGATGACGAAGCACAAGCGATGCAATCTGCCCGTAGCTCATCCAGAATGCTTGAAGAAACCTTGGCAACAGGAGCAGCCATTCTTTCAAAATATAGCGAGCAAAGGGATCGTTTAAAGGTACATATAATAGATCACCTCTGTTAACGTGGTCTGAGTATACTATAAGATGGTCTCCTTTTTAGTCTCGTTAGATAAGTCATTGCCATGATTACCGTTATTGTCCAAAATGTTTTGCAAAAACTGTGTTAGTCTTTGCCACTATGGTTGATCACCTGGTATCTTATTTGATTATTTGTTGCAGCGAGCTCAACGGAAGGCATTAGACGTCCTGAACACTTTGGGGCTATCAAGTTCTGTAATGAGACTTATTGAGAAAAGGAATCGTGTTGACAGATGGATCAAATATGCCGGAATGATCTTAACAATCATAGTGCTGATTTTCATTTGGAGGTGGACAAGATGATAGGTGCTTGATAACCGACTGGACCATCAAGATGAATTCTTAGTTAAAAGAGTCATTGAAAGGATTGTAGAAAAGTTGACTCAAAGCCCTTTTCTAACTCACACACAAATCTTGATATCATTGTATTGCAGTTGGGGTTGCATGCAATCTGTAAAATGAGACTTGGGAAGAATATATAGTACTATTTCTTTTTTTTTTTTGGGGAGAGGAGGGGAAGGGGGCGCGCATTATTTTCTTATTCTTTTTGAAATTAGAAGAAGTCTTCTTTTCATGCAACAAGAATGTTGTGCATTGGAAATCTCTATCATCTTCAGTTTCACCTCTGTGGCCACCTGTTTCTCTGTATTTCTCCTTTTCTTTTGGTTTTCCGGGTCAAATACACCGGCTCTTATTAGAGGTGGATCCGAAATTTGAAGTCATCGGATGCAAGTCAGCTACACTCATTAACTTTAATGGATCTAAGAATTTAAGTTAAAGTCAGGGGATGCAGAGTAAAACTATATACTCCCTCCGTTTCAATTTATGTAAACTCATTTAACTGGGCATTGAATTTAAGAAAAGAGAGAATACTTTTGAACTTGTGGTATAAAATGAGGTACATATATTTTGTGTGGCTATAAATCATTGCACAAAGCTAAATTGTTTTCAAATAAGGAAAGAGGTCATTTTTTTTGGCACGGACTAAAAAGGAAATATGTTAACATAAATTGTAACGGAGGGAGTATTAAACTTCTAGCGAAAAGCATATGAGTACAAACGTTTCCGTACCGATATAGAAGAATGATAGTGAAGTTTCCTAGAGCCTTATAGCCTCTAGAAGATAAGTATAGATGTTTCCGTACCGATCCTCAAGACTCTACTAAGTTTGCTCATTACTCGTGAGACCTATGTAATCTAGGGTTCCGATACCAACTTATTACGACCCGAAATCCCAACCAACCAGGGGCATGATGGCGCCTAAGCTTTCTAGCCAAGCCAACACAAAATAAAAAATATAAAAGAAATGCAATTAACGATTAACAACAAGATGATAATATAGTCTAATAGCAACTCAGAAATAGACGTGATAAGTCTAAGATCAACACTAACGTTCAACCATCCCAAGACGTGGAGTCACAAGTACATGAGCTACTAGAGTTTACTAAATACAGTGTCTCGAAAGAAATACAATACTGTCCGGAAAGTAGAAACAATACAATAGAAATAGAAAGATGACTCTAAGGCCTGCGAATAGAATGCATCTCTACCTCGAGTCGTCTACATGGTATCCGCTAAGCACCTCTCAGGACTTCGCTGTTACCAATGTCCGAATCTACACAAGAAGTGCAGACGTAAAGTATAAGTACAACCGACCCAATATACTCCGTAAATATCGAGCTTAACCCCGGCGAGGTAGTGATGAGACTAAGACAAGACAACTACAAATAAACCTGTGTAGTTATATATCAAGAAATAACGAAATGACAAGTCAGGTATCAAGTACAATAAGGGTTACTAGCATGTGAGAGAGATAATAAGTACGTAAGCAAAGGAACGTAAAACAGAAAGGTAAAGGAAAGTGTTATTGAGTAAACCACAACTCACGCTTTTTCAACAACTCTAAACAACCCTTCAAAAGTAAATTATGAAACCACATGACAAGTCCACAATCTGAATAACAACGTAAAGAACAATGAAACCGATAAACGGCACGACATCACCCTTCGTGCTTTCACTCTTATGCTCATAATATAATATAATAGCAAGCATGGAAATATCCTTCACGCATATCCTCACTTTCTCTCAAGCACGGAAACACCCTTCGTGCAATGATATTGATATATGAATAAAGCACGGAAATACCCTCGTGCAAAATCACTCTTTCTCACAAGTACGACATCACCCTTCGTGCATTTCACTCTTCCTCACCAAGCATCATATGTAACATAGTACCAAGCACAGTGGGAAGCATAAATAACATCAAAGATAACATTTTGAACATAACTCGTCATAAGAGAATTTACTAACACCTTTATACCAACAACCAAATCAACAATTTAACGATCTCAACACCCAATATCTTAATAAGTTCAACATTGAAAATGACACGTATACGAGAAATCAAGGAGTTATATTTATCTAAAGCATGGAAGACATAATACACAAAGTAACATGGCACAAATAAGGCTAATTCTACCTGTATGTTTATCTAATGGCCAACGCATATGTACTCGTCACCTTGTATATACGCCGCCCCCAACACATAGATCATGTAGCAAAGAGACTCAATGACACCCTAATTCTCTCAATTAAGGTTAACCAAGACACTTACCTCTTTTCGGAACAAGACCAACAATCCAACATGACTTTCCCTTTAGAATAAGCCTCCAAACCACTCGAATCTACTCAAATATTATTCAAACAAGTCAAAATAAATTTTAGAAACTACCCTCGTACGAAAAAAGCTCGATCTTTAACATAATATGAAAAGCAAACAAAAGTCAACCCGGACCCACGTGGTAGAAATCAAAATTAAGACTAAATCTCGATTATCCATTTATACCCGAGTCCAAATATAGTTTCTATCCAAAACCCCAATTTTTACTCTATGAATCTTAGATTTGATAGTAAAATCATGAAAAGTAATGAAATTTGAACAAAAACAAGTTAAGATTGCTAACCTATGAAGTTGGGAAGAAGTTTCTCTCCAAAAATTGCCTATATGGAGTCTAGTTCTCAAAAATTATGTAAAATAAGCTAAGTCCCAAAATTCTAAAATTTTACCCAGTTGTAGGCATCGCAATAGTTCGCAATTGCGACGTCCGAAAATATGAACCACTGATCGCAAATACGACCAGTGCTTGGGTCTCCTATATGTTGCAAATCCGAAACGGCCTCAGGTCACCCGTGATCCCAACCAAATATGCCTACAAGTCCAAAATTATCATACGAACCTACCGGAATCGTCAAAAATACCGATCCGGGGTCATTTACTAAAAACCTTAAATGTGGTCAACTCTAGCCATTTTCAATGTCAAATATCATATTTTCTTTTAAAAATTTGCATTTAGACTTTTCGGAATTCGACATGGACCATGCACGCAGTCATAAATCATCAAATAAGGTTACTAAAGGCCTCAAAACACAAATAGGGAAGTTAGTACTCAAAACGACCTATCGGGTTGTCACATTCTCCATCTCTAAAAAAATGTTCGTCCTCGAACGGATATAGAAATGTATTTGGACTTGTAAAAACATGCGGGTATCTACTCATCATGTCGGACTCGGACTCACAAGTAGCATCCTCAATCGGCTGACCTCTCCAATGCACTTTCATGTAAGGAATATTTTTAGATCTTAGCTTTCAAACCTGCCCATCTAGAATAGCCACCGGCTCTTCCTCACAGGTCAAATTCTCATCAAGCTGCACCGTGCTGAAGTCTAAAATATGTGACCTATCTTCATGATACTTTCAAATCATGGAAACATGAAAAACCGGATGTACCCCTACTAGGCTAGGAGGCAATGCAAGCTTATAAGCAAACCTTCCCAACTCTTTCCAAGATCTCAAAGGGGCCAATGAACCTCTAGCTCAACTTGCCCTTCTTCCCAAATCGCATCACGCCCTTCGTAGGCAAAACTCGAAGAAGAACCTTCTCACCTTCCATGTAGGCCACATCGTGAATCTACCTATCCACATAACTCTTTTGCTTGGATTGTGATATACGAAGTCGCTTCTAATCAACTTCACCTTCTCCAAAGCATCATGAACCAAATCTGTACCCAATAATCTAGCCTAACCGGACTCAAACCAACTAACCAGAGAACGACATTGCCTCCCATATAAGGCTTCGTACGGAGCCATCTGGATACTTGACTAATAACTATTTTTGTAGGCAAACTCCGCTAGAGGTAGAAACCGGTCCCACTTACCCCCGATCAATATAGCATGCCCTCAACATATCCTCCAAAATATGAATGATGCACTCAGACCTCTCGTCTATCTGAGGGTGAAACTCGGTACTTAGCTCAACCTGCATGCTTAACTCATGCTGCATAGCTCTCCAAAAGTGTGAAATGAACTGTGTTCCATGATTTGAAATGATAGAAATGGACACACCGTGCAGACGAATAATCTCCCGAATGTAAATCTGAGCCAACCGCTCTGAAGAGTAGGAAGTCATCATTGGGATGAAGTGCACGGACTTGATCAATTGGTCCACGATGACCCAAACAACATCATACTTCCTTAAGGTTCGTGGTAAGCCTACAACAAAGTTCATAGTGATGCGCTGTCACTTTCACTCTGGTATCACTAACTTCTGAGTCAACCCACCCGGGTTTTGATGTTCATACTTCACCTGTTGATGATTCAAACAACGAGATACATGTCTAATAATGTCTTTCTTCATCTTTCGCCACCAATAATGCTGCTTCAATTCATGATAGATCTTTGTAACATCGGGGTGAATGGAATACCATGAACGATGAGCCTCCTCAAGGATCAACTCTCTCAACCCTGATACATTTGAAGCACAAATTCGGCCCTGAAGCTGCATAACACCGGCATACCCAATCAAGACCTTCTTAGCACTGCCCCCATATATCATGTCTTTCAACACCAATAAGTGAGGATCATCAATTGGCGAGACTAGATACGCTCCAACAAAAATAAATATTCCAAAACACAAGCGAGAAACCTACTAGGATCCGTAATATCCAACTTCACGAACCTATTAGCCAAAGCCTGAACATCCATGGCTAATGGCCTCCCACTGCCAGTATAAATGCCTAATTGCCTATGCTCTCCGTCTTCCAAATTAAGGCATCGACCACCACATTGGCTTTCTACGAATGATATAATATGTTGTTATCATAGTTTTTCAATAACTCTAACCATCTCTGATGTCTCAAATTAAGGTCCTTTTGCTTGAATAGATGGTGGAGACTCCGATGGTCCGTAAATATCTCACATGGCATGCCATATAGATAGTTACTCTAAATCTTGACGTGAACAATAGATGCTAACTCCAAAACATGCACATGGTAGTTCTACTCATGGATCTTCAATTGATGAGATGCGTAGGCAATTACCCTACCATCCTGCATCAATACCATGCCAAGCCTAATACGCGATGTATCATAATACACAGTGTAAGATCCCAAACCTGTGGGCAACACCCATATTGGGGATGTAGTCAAGGCAGTCTTGAGCTCCTGAAAGCTCTCCTCACACTCGTCAAACCATCTGAAAAGAGTGCTCTTCTAAGTCAACTTGGTCAACAGGGATGAGATAGATGAAAACCCCTCCACGAACCGGTGATAGTAGCACACCAAA